AGTACCAGCCTGACATAGGTATGTGCCTCAATAACATAAAATAGCAGAAAGCTGTATTCACTTAAAAGGCATTCACTTAAAAAGGCAGGTTGTATGCTACTTTTGGCAGGGTTCTCATGCTTGTTTATGCCTTTCAATGATGAATTGGGTGCTATGGATCATTGTCCATCTGGGAGATACATGCTAGACATCTGAAAAGAGTTACTAGCAATGAATTCTGTTGTCCAGAGTGACCATCACAAAAGTGTTGATAAGACATGACCTTAAAGATCTTTCATTGCACAAGATGTACATAGTCAAATCATATGGCTGTGGCTGTGTTTCAAAGCTCACATGTAGGGCTTTCAAAAATAGCAACTGTCATATGATTAGCTGCTCCTGTTGCAGAGATATAGAGTGATCATTCTGAATCAAGCAATCCTATCAACACTTTTGTGGTGAACTGTACTTAACAATGTTACTAAACAAATTAGACATTTTGTAATCAACGTATGTCTTCAAGTTGTATTCAACTTCCAATAATTCACATGCAGGATCAAAGCAAATGTTTAATTTCCACTTAATCACTTTATAAACCTATCATTATACTAATCATTCAATAGCTAATGCACCAAATGATACAACAGTCTACACTCCTATATGATGCCTGACTCATAGACAATGAGTGAGGGCTTATGGACAGTGCATTATCTGGAAGATCAAGCAAAGAAGTTGAAAATGACCACTACCCCAAGCGAAAAGGAGCAGAGACTTAAATTGGTAACCAGGTTGAACTTAGGGTTCAACCAACTAATGATACAACTATTTATACAAGTACTGGCTATGTATGGACCACCGTGTTTGTGTAGTCATATCAGTGAAGAAAAAAACATAGTGGTACAATACCAGACATGAAGTGCACATGAACCCCATTATGTAAGCTACATAATGGTCAACCTGCGGGTGAACACTAAGACAGGCACTAGTAGTACAAGAAATAGAACAAAAAGACAAATGTTTCACCAAACTCAATCAAAATTTGTAGTGAAGTCATTTACTAAGTCAGGCTTTCAAATCACTCTTTTTGTCTTTAAGGTATGAATGTTATGCATGGTATACCCAAGTTGTGTTAAAATCTATACATGGGTCTTAGTATTTCACTAAGCCTTCAAAATAATTACCAACCTCAACAGTGTGCTGTGAAAGCCAGGGAGGTGATCTTGTAACAGGCATTCTTTTTCCATTGTATTGCACTGGTGGAGCCACAAGCTTTACTTTGCCAGCCCGAGGATGCTATGAGAAATGACTAAATCAAAACCTTACTCTCATAGTACAAATGCACTTACTTCAATCTCAACAATCATGTCACGGGCAACTGTTTGAGAATGATTGAATGACTGCTGAATATCATTCACAGGTCCAAATGGTATCCTGAAAAAAAGTAAATTAACAGGAATTTTTAAATCAATAATAAACCTACCCAAGACCATGAAACTTTTGAAGCCAGAAGTGTTGGCCATGCTGCATAAGCTTGTTTGAGATGATTTTGACCAGTTCCGCCCTGTTAGCCACTCTAGCTGCATTACTAGAGAACTTGATATCATCAGCTAGTTCTGGCTGCTCCAATATGTCCCTGGCCATTATCCTGAACTGTTAATCAAGAAAATTGGAAGCAGGCTATATGAAGACATAACCAGAAATACCTGCTTGTCATTTCCCGCACCAATCATCAGAAAACCATCTTCACAGGGAAATACTTGGTAGGGCACAATGGATGGATGAGATGTCCCGTGTCTTTGTGCCTGTTGACCTGCAACAAGATAATTAGATGCAATATTGGCCAGTCCAGCCAACTGCATGTGTTGAGGTCAGATGATAGTGTATGTATGCATGAGTAGACTCGCGCACCTGTGTTTCAAACAAGTTGCAATCTATCCAGACACCTTTTCCTGTCTGCTGCCTCGATAGGAGGGCCGCCATGATGGCACCATGAGCATAAAGACCAGTAGCTATGTCTGTCACTGCTACGCCAACTTTGCAGGGAGGGCCGTCAGGTTCACCCGTTCTTGCACACCGTCATCAGCAGGGCGACGCTTACGAGAAGAAAAGAAAGACGAACATATGCATGAGTCCAGCCTCTGCTTCGATGACCACGTCGTAGCCTGCAGCGTGTCGATAAGGGCCCGTCTGACCATAGCCTATGAGGAGTGTGAACCTCGCGTGGACCAGTGGTGATGAACAGAACATACCGGTGATGCTCGCGTAGATGAGCCTCGGGTTGATCTTCTGACAGTCCTCCCATCCGAGACCCATGGAGGCAAGCTTCCCGGAGATGTAGTTCTCTACCAACACGTCTGACTGACGGATGAGCTTGTGCAGTATTTCGAGACCGTCGGGGTGCTTGAAGTTGACCGTCATGGAACGCTTGTTGCGGTTAGCGGCGAGAAAGTAAGCGGACTCGGGAGGGAGGTGCGCAGCCTCGGGAGGGGCAGTCTCGGCCATGGGCGCGGACGGCGGGTTCCATGAGCCTGGGCGAGGTGTGAGCTACGATCGACGGGGAGGATGCGCGCGCGTACGGGTGTCATCGCCGCGGGAGACCTCCTCGACCTTGATGACATCTGCGCCGAGGTCTCCAAGCAGCATGGTCGCGGTCGGGCCAGCGAGCACGCGGGTGAGGTCGAGGACTTTGATGCCCTGGAGAGGCGGAGGCATGCCCGAGGCGTGACGGGCGCATGGCGAGGGCGAAAGACGGCCAGCGCGACGACGCGGCGAGGGCGAGAGACGGACAAGGCGGCGAATGGGAAACATCGTGGACGGCGACGACGCGACGCGACCCGGGAGAGGATGCTGAATCGGATCCGACGCCCGACGTGAGCGAGGCCAAAAACGGACGTCATGGCTGCGTGTCTGACGCTCCCAACCACCATCTCCTTCTCCTCCACCTCCTCGTCGTCGTCCTCGCCGCAATGCTCCAAAGGCATGTGCTCCGACGCCTGCCTCAGGCAGCCCACGGCTCAAAGCTTCTCTGCGCTGGCGCGGCCGTCTCTTCTCGCACGCTTGCCACCGCAGCGCCGCCTTCACCAAACGATGCGTTCGCAAATGGCACCAACGCCTACTATGTCGAGGAGATGTACAGGCACTGGCGGCAGGACCCCAAGTCGGTCCATGTCTCTTGGGACGTTTACTTCTCTGGCATGGACAAGGGCCTTCCCAGCCAAAAAGCCTTCCAGCCACCTCCCAGTCTTGTTTCTGCCCCCGCCGACGGTGCTCCCGCTCTCCATGCCAGCGGAGGCGCAGAGCTTGATGACCACTTGAAGGTACTGCGCGGCTGCTCTGACTGAGTAAAACACGCGTGTCTGAGTTTCTTACAGGTCCAATTACTGGTGCGCGCGTACCAAGTGCGTGGCCACCATGTTGCCGACCTCGACCCTCTTGGTATCCTCGATGCGGATCTGAACGACGCACACCCGCCCGAGCTGGAACTGAGCCGCTATGGCTTCACAGAGCGCGATCTCGACAAGCAAATCGCGCTAGGACCCGGTATCCTACCCCACTTCGCCACCGAGGACCGCAAGACCATGCCGCTGGGTGAGGTCATCGACGTTTGCAAGCGCATCTACTGTAAGCATCAAATTTTGAGTCTCCCCCTACAATGTTGACCATCGCTTAGGCCGTGCCGTTGGTTATCAGTACATTCACATCCCGGACAAGGAGCAGTGTGACTGGATCAGGGAGCGCATTGAGATTCCCAAACCGTGGAACTACACCGTTGAGGAGAAACGTATGGTCCTTGACCGTCTTATCTGGTCCGAGACGTTCGAGCAGTTCTTGGCGAGCAAGCACCCGAACGAGAAGCGATTCGGTTTGGAGGGTTGCGAGTCTTTGATCCCTGGTATGAAGGCCCTCATTGACCGTTCCGTGGAGCACGGTGTCAAGCATGTCACCATTGGTATGCCGCACCGTGGTCGACTCAATGTACTCGCCAACGTCATCCGTAAACCCGTCGAGGCGATCCTAAACGAGTTCTCGGGTACGGCAGACGACGATGACTTCCCCGCTGGTGACGTCAAGTACCACCTTGGCGCCAACTACGTCCGGCCCACGCCCTCTGGCAAGAAAGTCTCGCTATCCCTTGTTGCCAATCCATCGCATTTAGAGGCGGAGGACCCCGTGGTCCTCGGTAAGACCAGGGCTCTGCAGCACTTCGAGAGCGACGAGGCGACGCATAACACCGCCATGGGCGTCCTCCTGCACGGTGATGCTGCCTTTGCCGGCCAGGGTGTGGTCTACGAGACTATGGGCTTCCACAACCTCCCCCACTATGGTACGGGCGGAACGATCCACCTCATCGTTAACAACCAGATCGGATTCACTACCGACCCCCGCTTCGCGCGTTCCACGCCGTACCCGTCCGACCTCGCGAAAGCCATTGACGCACCCATCTTCCACGTCAATGGTGATAACGTGGAGGCGGTCAACTTCGTCTGCCAGCTCGCCGCGGACTGGCGCGCCAAGTGGAGGAAGGACGTCGTCATCGACATCGTCTGTTACCGTCGCCACGGCCACAACGAGACGGACCAGCCGAGCTTCACGCAGCCGCGTATGTACAAGGCCATCGAGAAGCAGCCCACGCCGCTCACGCAGTACTCCAAATTCCTGATCGAACGCGGCACGTTCACCGAGAAGGACATCGAGGAGCACAAGAAGTGGGTCTGGGGCATGCTCGAGAAGGCCGCGAGCGCCGCCAAGGACTACGTCCCCACGAGCAAGGAGTGGCTCTCTGCGTCGTGGCAGGGCTTCCCGTCGCCCAAGCAGCTCGCCGAGGAGACGCTCCCGACGCGTAGCACCGGCACGTCCGAGGAGGTACTGAAGCGCGTCGGTAAGGCCATCTCGTCGTGGCCCGACGGCTTCACGCCGCACCGCAACCTCGCGCGTATCCTCACCAACCGCGGCAAGACGGTTGAGGAGGGCCACAACATCGACTGGGCGACCGCAGAGGCGCTCGCGTTCGGCGCGCTCGCACTGGAGAAGATCCACGTGCGCGTGTCTGGGCAGGACGTCGAGCGCGGCACGTTCTCGCAGCGCCACGCCGTCGTCCACGACCAGGCGAACGAGCAGCAGTACATCCCGCTGAACGACCTCGGCTCGAGCCAGGCGCGCTTCATCGTCTGCAACTCGTCGCTGTCCGAGTTCGGCACGCTGGGCTTCGAGCTCGGCTACTCGCTCGTGTCGCCGGACGCCCTCACGATCTGGGAGGCGCAGTTCGGTGACTTCGCGAACAATGCGCAGTGCATCATCGACCAGTTCATCGCGTCCGGCGAGCGGAAATGGCTCCAGCGCACCGGCCTGGTCATGAGCTTGCCGCACGGGTTCGACGGTCAGGGTCCTGAGCACTCGAGCGGTCGTCTGGAGCGATTCCTGCAGTTGTGTGACGACCACCCGCAGAACTTCCCTACGCCAGAGAAGATCGAGCGGCAGCACCAGGACTGCAACATGCAGATTGTGTACCCGACGTAGGTGATCCTGTCCGACCCATATGATCAATGCTCACTACCTCTCCACAGGACGCCTGCCAACTACGTAAGACATCTCGATACCTGTAATGGCGCATAGGCTCACTGTTATAAACAGTTCCATGTACTGCGTCGCCAGATTCACCGCGACTTCCGGAAGCCGGTGAGTACCGCACCTTCGCCTATTGAACTGCAGCCTCATGCATTGTCTAGCTTATCGTCTTCTTCTCGAAATCACTCCTTCGTCACCCGAAAGCTCGTTCGGATCTCTCGGAGATGGCTGGCGACACCCACTTCCAGAGGTACCTGCCTGAGCCCCACCCCGAGAACCTCGTTCCTCCGGAACAGATCAGACGGCATGTTCTCTGCACTGGTATGTTTCTGGCTTCGAATAAATCTACCCAACGGGGACCTGACGTACTTTCGCAGGCCAAGTGTACCACACGCTCCTGCAAGAACGTGAGGATAAGGGCATCAACGACGTCGCGATCAGCCGCCTAGAGCAGATTTCGCCCTTCCCCTATGACTTGGTATGTCCCTTGATACCTCCGCTGTTTTCAACTACTGACACCTCGTCCAGTTGACGCCTCATCTCGACAAGTACCCTAACGCCGACATCCTATGGTGCCAGGTAAGTGTTGCCCCCATGTACGATATGGGACGACACGCTGAATTCGTGCTTAGGAGGAGCCCCTCAACAATGGTGCGTGGACCTACGTCGGCCCCCGCATCCTGACTGCTGCAAACGAGACGGAGCACCACAAGGGCAAGTACCCCCTGTACGCCGGCCGTGATCCGACGAGCTCCGTTGCGACTGGAAGCAAGGTATGCTCTTTCTGATGGTCGCATAATCTGTGGTTCTCACCAGTGTCCTTTGCAGACAATGCACAAGAAGCAGACTGAATCCTTCCTTGCGACCGCATTCTCGTCATGATCACGCTATACTACATGTTGTGTTTACCTTACTATAATGGACACACTCACGCTTTCGTGTGTACATTGCCGGCTCGTGTAAATGTGGAGTGAAATATTGCGCAATAAGGATATAGCGTGGAAGATACAAGCCATGCGATACAGCGAGCCAATCGGCTCAAGTTTTTCTGCGCTTGCGTCCCCGACCTCCTTCCTCACTTTCTGCTTCCCGCTTGCTTTTCATGCCTGCTGCCCGCATGTATTCCTTGCGTTTCTCCTTGTCCTTCTCGCTCTTCTTCGCCTCTTCCTTCTCCACCTTATGGCGGTGCGCTTCCTTGCGCTGCATCTGCTTCTCCTTGCGTCGCTGAACTTGGTCTTTGCGCAACGCTCGCATTTGCTGCAAGAGCGCTATCGCCTTCTTCTCTTCCGGTTCCAAGACCACAGCGCGCTTCTGCAGATACGTCTGCCGATTTTGCTGTTTAACGATCTTCGGTTTGGAGGCATATGGCAACGCCGCTTGCAGCTTTTTGGGCACTTTCAGGGTGTTGAAGCGGCGCGCCGGACGGTCGATCTGCTTGTAGTTGGAGTTGACATTGACGGGTGTCTTCGAACCCTCATCTCGTCGGATCTGCCCAGTCAAGCGCATTCCCGCCCACTTGCCCTTCTCGGAAAGCAGAAGCGACGTGACGGGATTGTAGAACTTCCGGGGAGTGATCGAGTACCAGGCTCTCAAAAATACGATGTCTGGGATGAAGTAGGTGAGAACATGGGAGGATTGGATGAACGACACCACTACGTACCACTCATCAAGATCTTGTCTTCAAAGGTGGCTCGATAAGCACCCTCTGGCTTGGCCAGAGCTTTCTTGATTTGCCCTCGAAGCCCGGAAACGGTACGGATGTTCGCGCCCTCAAACTTAGCTACCTCGAGCGCGCTGCTGAACATGTCCCTGATGAAGGCTGTGTTCTTGAAGATCTTGTAGGGGACGCCGGTCAGCTTAAGCTTCTTTACGATCTTGACGGACCTGTCGATATCCAAGATGACCCCTGTTGCTGAGACGCGGAAGCCGGCGAGTTCTCCCGAGAGGGAGTTGAACGCGCAGAAGCCGGTGTTGGGCAAGGCGACGGGACCATAGAACGTTGCGTAGCAGTGCATGTGCTCGGGAGTGTATTTGAGCATACGCATACGTATTGAATGGTCGTCCAACGAGTATATCGGTATACTCTGGAATCGTCGCCACCCAACGGAGAAGATGAGCGGATCGTTCGTCTTGAGTGTCTTCGTGTACCATCGATGGCGTTTCAGGCGAACTTGAACATAGCCGAATCTCTCCTCCGCCGGAAGCAGCCCGCCCACGATAAGTGGATATGAGGGATCGAAGTTCTCGACCATCTCGCATGGCACGTTGACCAATTCGATGCGTACATATGATCCAGGGCGATGACCTTCGATGAGGGCACGAGCTTCTGGGTCAACGTTCTCGAACTCAGCGCGGTTGAGTTCCAACTGTCGAGCCATATGCTCCTTTTGCTCTTCGTAAAAGTCCAGCTTCGATCCTTCTGGATCGTCGTACTGCTCGTCGAACTTGCGCTTGAGGGCTTCCTTCTTCGCTGCAAGTGCGGCAGCTCGCGCAACTTCAGAATCTTGTGCCTCCTGTGTTTCGCCCTCCGATTGCGAATCGTCAACATCGGCTTCGGCATCCTCGTCGAGTTCTGTAACCCCTTCGCCCGCCGGCGCTGAGGATCCGGTAATGAAGAGATTGCGGATGGAATCAAGCAAATCCTCGTCACCCCACTCCTCGAGTTCGTCAGCCTTCAAAGCATCCTTAGTCACGTCCAGCTCCTCCTTGTCTGCCGAATCACGCGATACAACTGTGAAGAAGTCTTCGTCCCCCGCAAATTGTGTCGATTGAGATTTGCCGCTCTGTGCAACGTTGCCACGCAGGATTTCGGCCGGCGATAGTGATGACATGTAGATCAACTTTGTCCAGTCCTTTCGCTTCCCCGCGCGTGGGCGATCAGAAAATGCCTGCTGTGCACGCAACGCGAGATTCGTCTTCCACCGTGGCGCCTCCTCTCCGTCGGACATGTGGACGTCCTCGTCGCTCTGGATTTCAACTTCAGCGTCATCCTCAAAATGGACACGAGCACCGTTGTTCGGCAAAACGCCGTCATCCTCGTCACCATCACCTAGATCTGAGTCGCTCTCTGCATACTCCACTTCCCCGCGCTGGGAGTTAAGCCCAGGCAGGCCTCCCATTGATCGTTGAACATTGCGCCTAGCTGTACGCCCACGATCACTGCTCCCGGAAGCCGCAGCGAGGTCTTGCGAGTCGGAGAGAGCATCGTCCTCACCATCCTCGCCATCCTCCACATCGTCATCCTCGTCATCAGAAGTAACGTCACTGCCGTCGATATCAGATGCGTCATCGTCTGACTCTTCGTCAGCCGATTCTTCCGAGGCGTCGTCCTCGCTGAAGTCATCAGAAGGTATTCGACTAGGCCCGGGTTCGACCGTCAGCGGTTTTGAGGATGAGCCGAAGAGACGAATCTGGCTGTTTGCGACAGCATCATCGAGGGTAGAGGTGACATCCTGGAGGTCCATAACCATCCGCTCGCCTTCACCGTGAGGGACTGGAAATAACGGGAGTCAGCGGCATGATGAAACAAGTACAGTATGACAATGCATACCATCAGCATTGCCGCGAGTGAAACTGCCGGGAACGTTGATGTATACAGCATCCTTATCGTACATCACACCTCCAACATCACTCATGGGTGCATGGATGAGAAGTTTCTTCTTCTCGCTGAGCTTCCTCCTCTTCTCAGAGTCTGCATCCGGCAAAGGACATGGATCACCGAGAGCTGAGACGCTCTTCATGTCGAGATCGCCGACGCCGGGTATGTGTATTTTTGTGCCGAGACGAAGGTTTGTTCCGTGCAGGTAGCCGTAAATGGTTACAGTACGGTCACACTTGCCCTTTGAGGTGCGAATCTCTTCTCGAGGAGTGAGATCCTCTAATCGGTCGGCAAGAAGGTACGGATGCGAATTGCGGAAGACGAGGGGACGGAACTTCATGACGCTGATGAAACGTGAAAGGTTGAGGATCTCTGTGTCCGGATACCGCCCGTTCAGCACACCAGATAAGTAGAATAGTTTTGCGCCCTGGTAGATCTCAGTCCAGAAGCGCTTTTTCAAAGCCTTCTTGGTCGCGCGGAGCGTTGCGGCCTTTTTTATGAGGTCCAGGTGGGTAAGGACACCAATAACTTTGGGAAATCCATGGGATTGCAGAATGTTGAGGAATTCAAATGTTTCCTGGGAGCACGTCAATATGGAGTCGAAATGCGATAATAATATATATGCTCACCATCTCAAAGCCATACGACCCATCAATCATGAGAAGAACAAGGTCAGCGATCTTCCCAATGTCGATCATTGAATTAAGGTCGCTGTTGCATTCGATGAAGGTGATCCTCTTCTTCTTTCCAGCGACTACAGTGACGGGGCCTTGCACATGGTTAAGAGTCTGTTTCGTGTGGCGGCGCACGAGCGATTTTAGTAAAGTCGTTTTCCCTACACCTGAAGGCCCGACAATGGCCACGATGACCGGTGGAGGTAGGTCTTCGGGCGTGCGGTTAACGAGGGGGACATGGAGGCGAGTCTGGTCTTGTTCTACCTTGCGACGACCCTGTCTCTCCGCTCGCCGCCCGGACCTTGGTGCAAAGGCCTACTTGCATTCATGAATAATGAGATGCACAACGAATGTTTGCTGCGGCGACATACCTTCTCATTGAAGCCATGCTGCTTCTCCTTTCCCTTGGACTTGCTCTTCTTCTCCGCCTTTGCTCCAGACTGCGGTGCACGGTGTGCTTTGTGTGCCTGCCCCTCCATCCAGACGACTAGATTTGTAGTGAAACAGAATAAGAGGGCAGAGACGGCCAAGCAGAGAGGACTTGCAGCTTCAGCGCGATCGAGAGCAGCAATATTATTACATGCCTGATCGGCTTATGTAAGCCGAAAATGGGGACCGACTGGTGCTCGCGGCCACGTGATCGACGCGTCTTGTTCAACCCTTGCCAACTCTTCTCCTCTTGTCTCCTCTAAGGCCTGGCTCTCTCCGTCCACTCTCTCGATACCTGCACACTGCTGCGACACCCCACACTTATTTTCAGGCGATGTCGAGACGCTCGTCGAATCTCGAGTTCAGCATTCGTGGCGACGAGCTTGAGCAACATCGCATCCAGCTCGAACACAATCTACAGCACACCGACCTATCTCTGCATCTGTCCAATCCTGACGAGGACTACTCCGACGTTGAATACCCCAGACATAACTCAGCTCCATCACCCTCCTTCGCATTTGCCTCCTTCGAACAACGCTCTGGCGACCAGTTCGATCCCCATGAGCAGAGTCAGTATCATGCATGGTCCTTCCAATCCTTCAACCGGGACGAAACAGGCGGCCCATACGGTGGAGAAACACTGTCTACTGCAGCACATCATGCCAGCGCTCTCACTCTTAGCGCTGGCCTTGGTGGGAGAGCTAACCGAAGGGATGTCAGCCTTAGCGGCGCGGAATATGACCCAGATCGTCCTCTTCAGGGTATCATAGCGGGCATTGACAGCCGCTTCAGTGTGCTCGATGTGGACTCCACGAGGTCGAAGAACTTGGTGCGTATCGTCTTCTCAGAGGCTTCGGGTTGTAAGTCGCCGAAAACGACAAACCTCCCAAGCTGTTGGCTACCAGCCGCGTACTCAGTCTAACGCCTGGGATATTGGTATTGTAGACCTCAAATGCCGTTGGCTTTGATCCACTAGTTGTCGATGTCGATGATACCGCCGAGCTTGACAGAGTACTCGAGACTGGCCATGCACGGATACCCCCAAAGATTCGCTCCCCCGCCTCCTCCTTCTCTTCGAGTAGCTCACCTTCTGAGCCTGCCTCTCCTCGTCCTCAGTCACCATCTTTGCGGCCGAGGCTCTCTGACGCGTTGCATGCCGTGTCTTTCTCTCCCAAGCGGCCACGTAGTGCACAAGCACAGTTGCCGCCTCGCCAACGCGCCGATTCTCCATCTGCTCTTCCGTCAGTGACGAGGAGAGTATCAACGCCACCCCTTAGATCATCTTCGCCCAGCTTCTCCAGACACTGCGAGGGGACCACACCCAGGCCAAGCCGCCAGAGCCACAACGTTGCGACTAGTCACGATAACTACCAGCAGTCTCTGTCGTATGTGGATCCAGCTGTCAACGTGCTACCGCCCACTCCGTCGGTTTCGAATGGGTCCAAGTTTTCTAGGATGGCGCGAGATCTGGCGCAGAAAATCGAAACGGAACAGCACTTCGAAGATGGTCGTGGCCGTGGGCGCGATGAGCCTGAGCGCATTGTGGCGCAAAGTACGGTGCGTGATTCTAAGGTGGTCAAGCAGCGCAGGGAGCGAAACCCGTTCCAGGATGTCGCCAACCGTGCTGCAGGCGCTGCTAAGATGAGACAAGCACCTGTCCAGAAACCTCCCCTAAGGACACCGCTAAAGAGCCGAATCCATCTGCCTGACGTGACAGGCCTCACCAGTGCGATCGGCTCGCCCGCTCGAATTGGAATGGAGTTCTACAAGTATGACGGGAAGGATGATAATGAAGGCGAAGGTGATTCATGAACGGCTTCGTGTCCACTTTTGCTGACCTTGTTGCGCAGCACGTCTGTTTGCCACGCTGAACGCGGTGCAGTCAAAGCTGGCCTTCCTCGAGAACGAGAACAGTATCTCTCGCCGCCGTGTCCATGAACTGGAGCTAGAACTAGAGGCCTGTAAGCAGGAGGTAGCCAGAGAGCGTACCAAAGTCCTCGATCGCGAGGAGGTCATTGCCCAGCGTGCTGCAGATGTGATCGGACGCGAGCGCGAGCGACTTGCAGATATCAGTCGACAAGCTAGAGGAAAGGCCAGGGAGCCTCGACGCCGCCCTGACGGCGACTCTTCATACCGTGCGGCGAATGAAAGCCGATACAAGGAGGTTGTGGAGGAGAAAAAAGGCGAGTGCAGTTTCTGCTGAATTGCGTAGTCATATTAAACTCGCCAACGCAGCCCTAGAGGCCCTGATCACGACCCTACGCAACCACCTATCACGTCTCACTACTGAGCTCGCGGAGCATCAGCATCTCTTGGAGGATCTCCGATCACTCCGCGACTCTGATGCCCGCGCGCTGGCTGAGAAGAGCAGGGACGTGGACCAGCTTCGTCAGGAAGTTGAGCGCTTAGCCGGAGAAGTTGAGGTTCTCAGAGGCGTCGTGGAGGAGGGTTTGAAAGAGCGACGTGCAGCCCGCGAACAACTCTCGCGGGAATTGTCACACGATGTCAGTGATGACGAGCGCAGCGGGCGGTCAAGTCCTGTTCAAGACGATAATGCCCATCGCGCGAACACCACTATACACGCAGCAGAGGTGTCGTCTGAGTCGGACGAAGAGGACGATGTTTCGGAAAGCTCTGGACACCGGTCGCCCACTCCGTCGCGCACCCGCGAGAACCTGGCGGATAGGACCACACGGACGGACTACGCAACGCTAGGTTCCTCACAACCACCCGACGAGCCCAGCACGCGCGCCTTCGTCGAACCTGAGGAGCTTGGCCTTATTGCCAATGATGTGCAAGAACGACGCTCGGAGCGATCGGTTTCCCAGTCCTGGTCGTCCGGCTCAAGAGACAGGAGTGTATCCCGGCCGATGTCTAGAGCATCCGCGTTATCTCGTTCCACGTCGTCTGCGCCCTCCATGATGGGTTCAAGGCGTGTAAGTTCACCGTCAGTGTCTAGACGTAGCGACGATGAAGGCGATGGCGACAAGGTCTCAGATGACGAGACTCGCCCTGCGACACCCAACGCACAAATGGCCGCGCCCTCTCGGTCTCGCCCAGCAGCCCCTACGCCTGCCCATGCTCTTCGGGATCAATATCGGAACACACGGCCAGCTCCTGACAACAAGGCCTCGTCGAGCAAGGCGCGCGCTGCAGTTGAGGAAGAAACGCCCTTTCCAAGCATCCGTGGGAAACACATGGAGCGTCTCTTCTTTTCTGCACCGGAACATAACGCGGAGACTTGCACAGTATGCCACCGTCGTCGACGAACTCACCACACTGCTGGTGAGGATGCAGAGCCAATTGCTTTCTGGCTCTCAGGTACGGTCAAAGCGCGGAAGCCCAAAGTCAGGGTGGACGATGAGGACGACGAAGGTTTTGCGGAAGGTCCTGAGGACGACGCTCAGCCGCAGCCATCTGGCAAAGGAAAAGAGCGCGAGAGTGCACGAGTTCCCCAGCAGACAGTCCTTGCACGCGTTATCAGGGAGCTTGAGGATGACTTCGCGCATTACAAAAGGTCAGCATATTGCACCACGCCCATGTTTATTGGCGTACTTATGTCCTATCTAGTATCTACGTGGAGCTGGCCGACCAATACAAGCTCATGGACGCTGTCTCCAACGTCGCGAAGAGAAACATCGTCGCAGGAAATCTGCGTGAAGTCATCGACATTCTTGAGCAAAAGGTGAAGAGAAGCGTATCATACCTACCGCAAATCGTTGTTGACTGTGTTACATTAGGGTGACCAAATTGCGTCATTGTATGACTTGCTCACCTTCCAAGATAAACCAACAAGTCAGTCAGTCGTGCCCGACAAGGCAAGGCGACCACCACCGGTTGATGTCCCACCCCGAGAAGCACGTCGTGGGTCAGGACGGCAGGGCAACGCTGCTGCATCATAGCCTCATTGTACCTGTTGATTTTTAATCTATTAGTGTGATGTTGTCGTTAGCGTTACGTCCCGCCATGCTGAAGAGCTCGCAAACTGCGAGCACATGATGGCAGTGTTCTCTCCATTCTTCTGCCTTACTCTTGTCACGTTGGCATTGCTCTGTTTTCGCTATATATTCTCTTGAACTTTGCCGCTGCCCTCCCTCTCTCGGACATTGTTCTCCAACATCATATACTATGTCGAAATGCAGAACGCTGTGTCGTAGCTACAAGAAGTATATAGACCAATAAGTCAATCATAACGCGTAATGTGTCGTGAGCGGTCGTAACAGTCGTAAGCATGAATGTGTACAGTGGCAGTAGGCGGTTATGCAATTGGACAGGAAGTCGTTCACCTACGTCCTGCCTTCACTTTGACATCCTGCCAAAATGAACGCCATTGCGGGTGCGATGCGTCATTGGCAGTCGGACTTCCCTGAAGTGCGCTTGCGGTTGGTATTGAGGGTGGCCCTGATGGGCTGTATGCGGCTTGCTGTGCGGCGGACACACGCTCAACAGCGTGTATCAGCGAAGGTGTTGCAGGGACGGACGCAAAAGCTGGTGTTGGTGAAGCGTCTGAGGACGCGGCGGGCCAAGGCTGGGAGCGGTCGATGGCTGTCGTCCCGAATCGTAGCTCTACTGTATGCGCTTCTCGCGAAGGTGTCTCTGCCAGCTTAGTAGAATGGCGGCGCATGAAGGACGGGGTCCAAGTCTGAGAGTCCCGTGAAGCCGATTCGTCTATCTTCCCTGACGTGACATCCTCCTCATAATCTGAATAATCTGGTGCGCTGGTCTCGTCGTCAATCTGGAAGTGCGACTTGGCTTGCGAAATCCGTAATTTCTCCTTGTCCACGTCGAGCGTATTTGCGAAGCTGTCCTTGCCTCGTTGATCGAGGTTGGTAAGGGTGACAGACGAGTCGGTCCTACTGACAGTGCGCATGATTGCCGAAGGCTTCTCCTCGCAGTCCTCATCCGAACTAGAGAAGTCGTCGACATGAAGAGGGCTGAACTTGATCGCCTCGCGACCACGCTTAGCCCGGTGACCCTTCGCACGGAACTTGCGCAGGAATTGCGGCGTCTCCGTCGGGAGTGGGATGACGGAGGCGGATGACTGGAAGCCCTGGCTATTCCTGCGCTGTTTCTGCAGGCGAATAGGCGAAGGGATGGATTGCTTGAGGTCAACGTCGACGGGGTAGATTATTTCGGTAGGGAGGTGCGCATCGCCCAGGCCGAAGTGACGAGACCAGAAAGAGGTCAGAGGCGCGAACGTGCCTGCGCGGTCCGCAGAATTTGGCAGACTGGTCGTATATTCGGCGAGATAGTTGTCCCATTTCTGTGGAGAGATTTAGGAGCGCACATCCTGAGGATTGGAGGGCGGCACGCACTTCGTCTGGGTTCTCTCCTAATTTGTATCGGAGAAACCAGTCGCAAGCTGTGCCGGACAGGAGGAGCAGGCAGTACGCCGCACTCAGCCCCTTCTCTGCATTCGTTCCCCAACCCGCGCCGTCGCTAACCCAGAGGCGCTCCCAAACGTTCCCCCAAGCGCTGATTCCGACGAGCAAAGAAATACAGGTTACTACGCCAAAAGCACCTGAAGCAGATGCCCCAATTCGTACAAAGAGGTGTTGATACCGTGCAAGAGGAAGTAGACAGAGCACGGTGCCAACGAGCAAGAAGACGGATACCAGAGCGACGCGAGTGATCAGTGATGGATGAACAATGACACAGATAGCCAGCGCGAGGAGGGTGCTAGACAGTCGGTGATATTGAGCAGTAACTCAGATTACCAGGTCATATGTACTCACTACCCGGAAACACCAGTGAAAAACAAAGCAGCATACTTCCATCTGCCAGCAAGGAGCGTGCAGATAATCGCCGCGAGTACCCAGACGGCTAAGAAAGCTTTGGAACTCAGTTGTGGCGTCCCTCTCTCGTTCGGGACCACGAGAGAGAGGAATGTGACGAAATAGACTAGATGCATTTAGGATCCTGTTGGACCAATCGTGCATGGAGCGCACCTCCGAAGGCGTAACCAGAGGCAAGGCCGCCAAGACCTCCCTCAAGCAAGAGGAACCTCCGCATGAAGATTTGCACGCGATTGGGGGCATGGGAGCGCGTTGATACTGCTGTAGACGTTATCCGAGGTGCGAAGGTGCGAGTCCGGTCGAGTGTGAGGAAAGCGCCAGCAAAGGTAAGTACGAAGGACACCAAGATGAGAGGCAATGAGTACGCCAATCTGTACGGAGTAGATTCAAGGAGGGTCGTGAGGGAATAGTCAGTCGTGTTGAGAGCCATCGTGAGTTTGAATACCACTGCTCAACGACGTCGTGTAGATAAACCTGCGAGCAAAGCCAGTAGAGAAGAGCAAGGTTAGCAGGATAGCACAAACTGACGACGTCCTCGAGCCCGACAGTAGTGGACAGAGCAGCCAAGGCCTGCACGGTGGTCGAGATGAGCGCGAGGAACGACGAGCTCGGAGCTTCACTTGATCGAAGACGCAAGGAAACTGCCGAACTCGCGAACACAGGCGATGATTTTGTCTGCAGTTTCTTGGTTTAGATCTCCTGCTCATGCTTGCTCTCATCCCACAACCAAACCTCGCTATTTTCTTCACAAGTCACCGTGGACTAGTGACCACAAATGGCAAAAATCGCAGCCCTCAAGGGTGTCTCGCGTTCGCACAAGATTTCGGATTCTGGTCCGCATTCGAAGAGACTTAAGAAACGGGAACGTCCATGGGTCGACGTCTCTGACGACGAACTTCATGTGAAACGGGCAAAGAAGGGGACTGGGGATCGATCTAAGAATTTGAATGGTTCACCGAGCAAGCCCTCAGCACTAGAGTCAAAAAAGAAGGCAAAAATAGGCCATCCGAGCAGGCACCTTGCGAATGGCACGAAGCAGGCTTCTATCCAAGAGCAGAGGAGGGAGCTTCCCATCACTTCTGGTTCGTAGTAGTCCACTCAGTAGCTGTTCCACCAACAATATATCTTGTACAGGCAAGGATGCTCTACTCGATGAGATCAGAGACAACGATGTTACGATCCTTATTGGTGAAACTGGCTCGGGAAAAACAACGCGTAAGTATTGAAGGTCTGTTCATTGCTCTGGTACTAACTGTTTTGTTCCAGAGGTTCCCCAATACATTCTGGAGTCAGGAATCTCTGGGAAAGGCATGATCGCCGTCACCCAACCCCGCAAAGTTGCGGCGACATCGCTGGCGACCCGAGTCGCTACTGAACAGAACACTTCTGTCGGGGGTCTGGTCGGGTACTCTGTTCGATTTGACGAGGCAAGCTCAGAAGACACTCGAATCAAATATGTTACGGACGGGATGCTCGTTCGGGAGTTATTGGGAGACACTCTACTCTCGCGATACAGCGTCGTTATTGTCGATGAGGCACATGAGCGGACTCTACGAACTGATCTCCTCCTCACGAATTTAAAGAGCATACAAAAGACTCGCAACGCGCCTGCTGACGCGAAAGGCAAAGGTTCGGTTGCAAAGCTCAATCCTCTTAAAATCGTCATCATGAGCGCAACACTTGATGCGGAGAAGTTCAGCAAGTTCTATGATAAGTGCGTTCGAATATGGAACCACTTTGTTGAAAGGCTAGAGCCTCGACTGATCCCATTGTAGTGCCAAAGTCATATATGTAAAGGGTCGCCAGCATCCCGTCACAATCTATCATACAGCCATCAGTCAGCCGGATTTTGTCGACGCGGCAATGCGAACGTTCTTTCAAATACATACGGATCAACCTCCTGGTGATGTGCTCATTTTCCTGCCAGGTATGTCTAGGACAATTATAAAGCTGTTTGATAGATTTTTCAATTTCGTCCAGGTCAAGAGGACATTGAAAGTTTGGATAAGTCCATCAAGCTGTACGCGGATCGGCTTCCAAAGGATAGCTCTGGTGTAAGCCACCGTAGAATTGCCTGAAGTACCGTGCACTCATACCTCCTTGCAACACATAGATCGTCGTATGCCCCATGTATGCAGCGTTGCCCCCTGGGCAACAAGCGAAGATATTCTCGCCCGCTCCCCAAAACACTCGAAAATGTATCCTTGCGACCAACATTGCGGAAACCTCTATTACAATCCCTGGGATTAAGTATGTCATCGACACAGGTAAATGTAAAGAGAAGCGGTATATTGCACGAGACTCTGGAACGGGTGCGTATGTGCTGAGACGTCTACCACCTTTGCCTTATCCACATCATAGGGTTCGACACGCTCTTAACTAAGGATATTACGAAATCATCTGCGATGCAAAGAGCCGGACGAGCCGGGCGAGAAGTTTGTTTCTAGTTCTGGCCGTCACGAGTGGACACTAATCAGCCTGCTTAGAGCATTGGCTTCTGCTTCCGTTTGTACACGGAGGAGTCTTTCAAGGCATTGCCGGATAGCGCTGAACCGGAGATACGCCGCTGTGCACTTAGCTCCAGCCTGCTGCAACTCAAATGCCTTGGACAGGATTTAGAGCAACTGGACTTCATGGACAAACCGGATTGGGAAGCCAGTATGTCTACAAGCCGAGTCCGCGCGACCTAATGCTTAAGTTCCACGTGCAGTTGCGTCGGCGCTGAAGACTCTGTATCTTCTCGGTGCCATCGATAACCAAAAACACCTCACAAAGCTTGGGCGTGACATGGCTGTCCTTCCTCTAGAGCCGCATCTCGCTCGTGCGGTCGTCGCGTCGCAAGAATGCGGCTGCACGCTCGAAATCATCGACATAGTTTCGGTGTTATCAGCATCATCCAAGCTTTTCTTTGACTCGACAGACGAGCGGGAGGCTGCGGCCGAGGCGCGACGGAAATTCCGGCACTCGAGCGGCGACCACATGACGATCCTGAATGTCGTGAGGTCGTACCAGGAGATCGTAGCCTCGGAGAACAAGAGCGGGCGGAAGGAGTGGTGCAAGAAGCAGTTCCTCAATGATCGGTGCCTCAGTGAGGCGCGGGATATTCGCGATCAGCTGCGAGAGGTCTGCGTGCGCATGGGCGTCGACTGGCGCTCGTCATGCGGTGACGATGAGCAGCCTGTACTGAGGAGCCTTGTGCGAGGCCTTGTGCAACAGGCTGCATTCTTGCAGCCTGATGGATCGTACAAGCAACTCATGGGTCCTTCGGTATGTGTATGCGTGGTGCGTCGGTGTCCGGTATTGATGTTTCCCTTCTAGATTGTCAAAATTCACCCTTCATCGTCGCTGTGTGACAAGAAGGTTCCGGCGATCATTTATGACGAATTGGTGAGTGAGCATTGAGATGCCGAATTATAGTCAGACTGATGGCACCTTAGGTATACACGAGTCACATCTATGCGCGGGGCGTGTCGTCTGTACCCCGCAAGCTTATCGCAGAGGTATCTGTCTTTAAGAACAAAAATATAGGATGAAATATATGCATACATATCCACGTTTGTTCAGTGTTTACTACCTACTTGGCTAGCTTTGGATAATGCGTTGGCTTGTATGCTCTCAGGCGACAGAAAAGATAAATGAGACGAATTTTGTTGACCCGAGTAGGCTCAGTTCACCTGCTACTTGGCTCCAAATCCTGACCTGCCCATTTCGATGACGCGTCACGCTTGGGCGCAAGGATAGTGTGACGTGTGACGAGACTCGAGGCGCGAGCACGAGCGCTCTTAGCGTGATTCGCGACCGCGACTTGCTGTGGCCCTCAAGCGCGTCGGCATCGCGCGTACTGCGACGGCCCTTTTCTTCATATCATGAACAAGAACGACTGGTATCGGCAACAGCCAAATGGGTATCATCAAGAATATTCCTCACCGCAGGTGCCTGCGGGCAGGGTGACCGCGGATTCGGTGCAAGATGCACACGCGCTACTGGCCGTATACCCCTTCGCTTCGGCAACGCCTGCTACACACGGTGCGTTCATGCCTTGCATTTATCCGCATATACTCACCCTTTAATTCATTCTATAGTTGCTAGGCATCTGAGTAACCTCTCCATATCTGCCGCACCGCCTTCGTATATCCAGCAGCACGCATACGGCGGACAGGCGTCCTCTTCACACTCCCCGCATTTTCCCGTATCTTCGGAGTATGCTGCAGAACTCAACCACATGGCGTCACCGTCTATCCCTGCATATGACGGAGGTTATTGGGAGGCCACGAGGAACGACGCTGTCAAGTATTTAGGGGAGCAAGGCTTGTCAGTGTGTTCTGCACCTGAGGTGGTTTACGTGATTTAACGTCATTGATCTAGCGCATACTCTTACTATAACTCATCAAGTCCATGGGATCAGTCATTCTCTCACCCATCGAGTTATCAAAGCATCCCCTTCGCGCATTCCGTCTTCCAACACTCCGCCCCGTCCACTGCATATCCGACCCCTCCGCCCCCGGGCATCAGTACATCATCTTCCTCTCTTGCGCATGCACTAGAGGAGCCTATACCAAAACGCGCAAAGACCATATACAAGCCCGAGGAGTCAAAGCAGTTCTTCAACGACTTCATTGCGAAGAGTAGCGCAGACGCTGCCTCTCAGTCTCTGCTGAAACGGAGCCATCCGACGACTCCCCATCGTCCAAGGCAAGTGCTGAGGGAGGAGGAAAGCCCCGACCCTCTCGCTATTGGTTTCTCTAGCCCGCATACACCCACAAGTATGCAGACGCCACGCAAGCGAAAGACCATACCCTGCGTGGAACTGCCATCCCTGAAGCGTCTACAGCTCGATCAAGTCAGCAAAACCAGCTCGAAGTCGTCGGCTAAATCATCAACGAAACTCGCTCGTACGCCGACGGTGTCAACCGGAAATGTCCTAGGCACGCCCACGGCGAAACGGTTGCTGCCCTATGTGGAAGTACCCTGCTTGCCCCAAGAGTACCTCACTCCGACATCGCGTAAGCGGACTCGCTCGCCGTCTCGCACGCCTGTATTGAACGGCAAGGGGAAGGGGAAAGCCAGGGACATGGATTATGATGGCGATTTGGGAGGATTTGGGTCGAGTGATGACGACGGCCCTAGGAACGGTCACCGACCTATCCCCAACGGCAGCGTCCACTCATCCAGCAAGCGGGCCACCGGCGAGAGGGATGACCGAGGTCTGTTCTCATCCCTTCCGTGTATTCGCATTTCCTGACCTCTAGCTAGCTCCAATCGAGAAGTTCACGACATTGCTGGAAGACATATTCGAGGCAGAAGATTCCTTGCCACCGGATGCTGACGTGCGCGACTTGCCATCGGAGTTCTTCTCGCCGCACACTGTCGAGAGTGCATATCCTCTTCTCCACCCCAACCTTATTCGGAAGCTATCCACCCATATAGGCAAGGTCGCACGCCCGAGCAAGCGTATGCGCCTCTCCTCCCGCGAGGGTAATGCGCATAGTGAGACTCCCCGTCGGAAAGGGAGGATGGCGGAGGTTGACGCAGCAGTGTTGTCGAGAACTCTCAAGATCCTTGAGCGAAGCGTCAAAGCTGGCGAGGACCTCGAGCCATTTGGCGCTGCTGCACCCATTGTCCCGAAGAAACCACCGAGCAGCCCAAGGAAGAAGTCCACCAAGAAGGGACAGACCGGTGAGGACAGGCGCTCGAAAACTCCTAAGTCCCTCAACGATGAGCCTGGCTCTGGAGATGAAGGCCTCTCTGTCGGTGTCGATGACGACTCGGCTTCGCAGGCTGTGACAGAGACGGACCTAGAGAAGTTGTCCAATACCCTGGATGTGGCGAGAGATAGCCTTTTGGCGGCAGATTGTTGCATCGGACTACTCAGTAGTGATCGACTTACGAAACAGGCGAGTTATGGGTGCTGTATGCGCAATTACCATTCGATCTTTGACACCTTTCCCTTTGTCCACAGTTGTACTCGGAAGAGCTGATCACAACGTGCCTCAGCACTGTCAAAAATCAGCTAGCAAAGATTGTCTATCCCTTCGTGGAGGCATCTACTGATAGTAATCATCAGCCACCCCTGCTGCGACACGTCGTACAGCCATCTTCCCGCGATGGCAGTCATCGACGCCAATTGGCAGAGATATTCCAGGCTATTTCTTCAGTCGTCCCTCGCATTAACGACCTAGTATCTGCTGAGACGATGGCCATGTCCGAATCCATCATCATACAGGCCGTCTACATTGCCATAGGGCCGTTCTTTGTGACGGAGGGCAGTGAAAGCGAAGGTAAGGGTAAGAAGGACCTTGCTGTGTTACACACATTGGGCAATAGCGCCATGAGAGGTCTAAGGCTGGATGCGCTAGCATTGATGCGAAGTGTAAGTTAATATCAAGAACGGCAACATTTCGTTGCTCACGTGTTCCAGATCTTCGCCAACCATGAAGAACAACGCAGCTGGATCATTGAAGAAATCCTCTCATCTCTCATCAAGCTTTCAGACACCAAGCAGAAGGCCGGCCAATTTCGGTTCGCTTATTGATGGTCCGCGAGATGCGAGTTTGCATTGACTTGACCTATGTAGATTGCGCGATGGTCGCTCTATTCGTACTGTGTCCGCCTTGCTCCTACAGCTCGTACAGACGTCTGCACACGACGTGCGTGTGGAAGCCCGCGCCCTCCAGAGTGCGCGCGAGCAAGTGCTCGCCATGCGTCGACAAGAGTCATCGGGTGATCTGCGCCAAGGCCCCTTCCTTGATGAGAAGGACATGGAGGTGAGTACTGACTGACGAGAACCAGACAGAGTAGTCCTAAGGTCCCGCATTGCAGGAAATCCGCCTGTACACGTCTGGTCTGGACTCTGCAACCAAAGCAGCTAAGACAATCATTGCCTTCCTAACCCAGCGGTCAGTCACGTCTCGTTGCTCTGTTGCAGGAATCTGATTGCCGATTAAGGTCGGGGAAGAGCAAGGTTACTAAGAACTCGAATGAAGCTGAATACAGGACTATATTTGACAATCTCATCTCCGACCTGTTGGCAGTGCTCTTTTGGCCTGAGTGGCCAGCGGCTAGTCTTCTCCTGAGCATCATTTGCAAGTTCATGGTCAGTGGTAAATGCATATCCTCTCAACCATAACCCGCCAACAGAAGCCTAGGTATCTTCCTTAGATGACGTGAAGACGACGAACCAAAATGATAACAATGCCATCAAGACTATTGCTCTCGATCACCTAGGGGTCATAGCAGCTCACTTGCGGTCGACGCTGCTCAAGTTCCGCGACGAGAAAGCCCTCAAACCTTTGGACGAGGTACTGCTTTTCAGTCTGCGTCTCGCGCTGAAAACTAATTCCCGTTCTCAGATCTTGTCATCTGTTAACACGAAGCAATTGCAACGGTTGGCTTGTGCTCACCAGGATCTTGGTTCACACCTCACTAAGCGCGCATCAGAGGACCAAGCATATGATGTACGTTCCTTTGGATACTCAGATGGATGCTGTCATTAATATGCATCTAACCAGAGTGCGCGTGAATTGACGGCTGTTTTGTGGGGACAAGAGCTAGCATTCACCCTGCAACAATGTAGTGCCATGATCACGGATACAGGCGAAGATCTCGATCCCCTGGTTGATCGAAGCAAAATCCTTGCGTTCGGTTACAAGGTCAAGGAGGCTCTTCGACGGATCTGGGATGGCTCCACCAATGATGTGTTCGACGTCGGGTACGTATCAAACTGTATCGCGGTTTCTTCCCTCTCAATTGTTTTTGCAGAGGTACACATGACGAGGTGGCTCACACCCACCGCTTATCTGAAGAGATTGGGACCATTCAGACTTTCAAGAATTCCTTCACACCGATTCTGAATGTAGTCTTGCAAGCTTTAGATGCTCCTCCTGTGTTCATGCGTACAAAGGCGCTCAAAGCATTGGGGCAGATTGTTACTAGCGATCCTAGCATTCTCTCTACGGTAGGTCTCCAATATGACGTCCGTGTACGCACACTCATCGAAGCGGGCAGCCAAATGTGAGGAGGGCAATCGAAAGCCATCTGCTAGACAGTTCTTCTGCTGTCCGTGACGCAGCGGTCGAATTGATCGGCAAGTACATGATCGACTCGCCAGAGTTTGCTGCCGACTACTTCTCGAAGATCGCGGATCGTATAGCGGTCAGTCACGACTTCCATGTGCCGTATTCACAGCCGCTGACAGATCGCATTATAGGACACTGGTCTTGGTGTCCGGAAGCGTGTCATCAAGCTGCTGAAGTCGTATTATCTCGTGTCGGATGACAGGGGTCGTCGTATCGAGATATGCACCCGCATTGTCCTGCGCATGCTCGACGAAGATGATACTGTGAAAGACCTGGCCATCAAAACAATGGAGGAACTCTGGTTCCAGGGACCAGGGTTCACACAGAGAGGAAAGAGCCTCGCTGTCGCTGACGACAAGTCACAGCTACTTTCGAAGGTATCTGTCATCATGGGTGTCTCTAGTCACTTCAAAGATCGACATTCGCCACTGGAGGACCTGCTTCATCAGATGATGGTCGACAAAGGGGGTGCTGAAATGACATCTTTGCACACTCGGTATTCAGAGATCTGTGAGGCTTTGATTGATGGCTTAGTTGATGCCTCCGATCTCCCTGGCTTTGTAAGCTGTCCTGCCACGCAAGACATATCTGGCGTTGCTGACTGTCTGACAGACAGTTGTCAACTGTGTGCGGACAATTCATCTATTCGCCTCAGCTTATCCAGCTGTGCTTTCCGGTGCCAATGCTTCGACCCTTCTTCCGTACCTCAAAAACGCAGCCACAGTATGGACATCGTTGACCAATAGTCATTTCCCCAGACTCATCCTAGCTTGCAGCCCGAGGAACAGTCCACCTCTGACTACCTGCTCCGTATTTTCCGGGCGTCGATCCCACACATGCCGAAGACAGCTGCGAAATTTGGCCAAGAATTGCAGCTAGCTTTACAGCCGATGATCATCAAACCATCTGCCTCAGCTGGACTGCTGGTATGTTTCCTCCTTACGTCGTTGTGAGCCCTTGTTTAACACTTACACTGGATGCAGGGCCTGCAGGAAACCGTTGCATGCATGTGTGCAATTGTGCTTCACATAACTCACGACTTCGGCCGGCTGGTGGCGCTGTTGAAATCATGCAATGGTGTGTAAGGATCCACCGCAAATGACCCTTCCTCTGACTAAATCGTAACATATCAGCGCGTTTGCAACAGGCGATCAGGAGACCGCCCTCACAAGTCATGACAACATCTGAGCAACGGGCGCTCTCGATCCTCCTGTTCATTGTCTCATTGCTGTGCGAACACTGTCCGTTCGATCAAATACGAGCTGAGAATGAACGTACGTCGTGTTCACGCCCAAGATAGGTTGTGATGCGCTGATATTCTGTGTAGAGCTGCGACACGAGATCGAGAGTGTTACTAAGGCTGGTCTTTCGTACCACGTCTATGTCTCCTTGTAGACTAATGTTTGGTGTAGGGCTCGGTGATCGAACATGTCTATCAGAGTCTTCTAGAGCTCTATGACAAATATCGAGATGTGGGTCTTAGGGGCCGCATACTGCAATGCATGGGTAAGCGCGGGCCGCGACGGTGTCAACTGCTGTCTCATAGTTTCGTGCAGGATTCCTGTTCCGTGCGCAGCCTGCCCTCATGACGGTCGACGCATCGGCGAGCATCATGGACGCTATATTTGCTTCTCCGGATGAGGATGCACGAGGTCGCCTCCTGAGGATCGTGCAAGACTTCCTTGTCTCTGAAGCATCTAAGCATGCAGAGAAAGAGAAAGGTAATTAATTTGAGATTTTCAACAGTTGGATACATGCCTGAGGGATGCATTAGCCAATTCGAGGTCCAAGTCTTCAAGTGGCAAGGAGGTCAATATGGAGGAGCTAGTCGGTAATACTGACGGGTTCGCCGACTCAGGGTAAGCAAAATCTTTCTTTTTCGACAGTTCAGCCCTGACGATCACGACAGAGTCAGTTCTGCTGTAGTCCAGCGATATCTAGTACCCATCCTAGAAGCAGCGCTCTCGCATAACGCTCAGATACAAACCGCTGCCGTTGATATTCTCAGCTTCACCATCAAGCAGGGACTTGCACACCCGCTTCAGGTTAGTACTTCAGCTTGTCATTGCTGATACTAGTTGCCATAATAAACCATTCTTAGTCGTTCCCCGTTATTGTTGCGCTGGAAACCAGCCCGAACACTTCTTTTAGTGCACGGGCTAGTGCATTGCATACAATCTTGCATAGCAAGCATACATCACTTCTCAATGCTCGCTACGTGGTGAGTGCGAGGGCATCGTTTGATTATCAGAAGAAACTGGCACCGGGGCAAGTATATGGTGAGTCTCCGAGCCATTTGTGATGACTACACAGGAGTAATGCTGTTCGACCTATTGTAGGATATCGAATGACTTCAGGGCCTACTGCGCTCCTACATAGATGGTATTCCCTCGTGCGGGAGAAACGGGCGACCAGGCAAGATTTCCTCAAGGCACTAGTCAAGGTATTCGACATTGAGCTGCAAGCTAAATCATCCCAGGTATTATTACAGTCATCTTGATGAGAGTTCCTTCGGTTGATATACCACCACCAGGACGACGTAGAGTTCGTGCGATATATGGCAGAAAACTTCGCTGCGTTTGAGTACAAGACGCAGGAGGAGGTCCTCACAGTGCTCAAATATCTGACCGGCGTCCTCTCGACGACCGGCATGCAGCTGGTGGAAAACCTTTCCCCGTCTCATCTACTCTCACAGCTTCACGCGCCAATGCAACCTGTATCCTTCACAGGCGACACAACACACCAGCCTATGGTGAGACCCGGCCGTGTCTACGTTCACGTCCATTTTCTCACCAAGTATTAGGAGGGTGTCATAGCAACAAGCGTACCATATTCATCATCTGGTGTGTATCACGTACATGGAACACATAGGCCTCGCTGATTGAACACTGTAGTATCCTTTGATGAGAGACTCCCTCTAATGCGGACGTCGATCATTGTTGCGATGATCATGTTGCTGAAGGCGTACCTAAAGATGTTGTACGGCATCTCTGAAGAGTATGTGAACAGTGGAGTTTTTTCAGCGAAAAAGACCGCTGACTGCGGTCACAGTAAATGTGCCAAGTGGGTAGTGGGGAAGAAGAGTGCCATAGGTGACAGGCCCGCTGCGCGGCGCCATGAGCGACCGCTACTTTGGGAACGATTATCGTTCGCCACAGCGCCGTTGCTGACCAACGAGGATTGCGACGTGCAGCGCACGAAGGTGAGCACGGTAGCGTCTAGAGCTCTCATTTCTCTCACTCATAATGAACCTATAGTTCCTCGAGATCTGGAACGAGGATGGACTGACAGCCGAACCCGAAGACGATTTCGCATGATAAATAAATGGACTAACTGTTTCTGATCGTTGTTGCTATCGTTGTTTCTTTGGTGTGTTACTGTGACTGACGTGCAAGCTGTTGTGCTACAATATCCTTATTGCTTCTTGTTCGTTCTTGATCCAAATCCAACATTAAATAATGGCTCGATCATAATGTACGCATTTCTGTCGAATACCATACAAATAGCATAACCCAGCCCTCTACTGGTTTGAAGCGGGTTCCGCAAGCATGGGCGGCCTCTTAACCTGGCCATCCTCGAAGATATGAGGCCCCTTGGGCATCTCACCGATGAGCTGCTTGGCGTCATCATCAAGCGCAGGCTCGTCCTCGAACTTCCATTCGAGCTCGCCGCCGTATGGCCTTGGGAGGTTCTTCGCGTCGACGAGAGTGCGAAGCGTGGGACCTGGGTCCTTGCCAAGGACATGGACCTTGCGCTGAGTGCCCTCATCGAACCAGCCCTATGAGCGACGCATCGGCTTCAGCATCGTGTTCGGGATGCACATTGCACGTCAGGAGCGAGGCATACCTTGACCCAGCCCCAGACGGTCGGGAAGAACGATGGCGAGTTGACGACCGCGATCGTATGCAGCGTCTCGGGGTAATTGGCCGTCGCTAGTCCGGAGGCCTCCTGGAGATGCCCACGGAGTCCCCAAAGTGTGCCCAGCGAGACATCCCCAAGGTCAATGATCGTCGTCACAGAAGAGATGGGTGTCGACGCATTAGGATGCGGGAGCGCGGAGCACATGTTGAGCACGAAGCGCGTCATGGTTTCGTATAGCGCGACACTTCGGGGGCGCACGGTGAGGGGACCGGGGGAGCGGGCACGACGGGCGAGGCACTCACATGCGCTGGTAGCGGCGCTCGGGCGGGACGGCCTCGAGCTCACGCTTGAGGGGTCCGATGGACGCGAGGCGGTAGACGTAGAGCGGGCGGCCTGTCTGGCGGCGGCGCGCGAGGTCTGCACACGCTCACACGAGGCGGCGAGTGCGGGACGCGCGCCGGGGGGCGGACTCACCTTGTCGCGGCGGCCGGTCCAGCGGGGGTAGAAGCGCCGCGCGTCCTCGAACTCGACGGGGTCGAAGGACGCGTAGAGGGCATTGACGGCGTGGCGGGTGCGCCAGGCCTCGGCGTCCTGGAATTGCTTCAGGGCCTTGTTCGGGTCGAAGCGACGCGCGCGGAGAAAGCGGCTGCAGGGATGTCGTTCGTCGGCTGGGTTTCATAGCAAATTAACGTGACGCAGCGGGCTTACAGGAGGGTGGGCTCATCATGGGATGCAGGTTTGGGGCCGTTGTCGGTGTGAGCGGAGGGGGTGTAGAGGTTGGCGGCGTGGAGTATACTCTTGAAGACGTTGAAGGCTTGCTGCTGGTCGGCGGAGAGATGGCCGAGATGGCCTGCGAGCTCGTCGTGCGCGATGGGCTGGGAGGACATGGTTGTACAACCTCACCCAGTAGACGCTCATCGATCACGATCGGACCAACAATTACATATGCAAGTTCTTGTGTTGACTTGTGTACGCGGAGCATGGATCTACTCCGGTCAGTAAAGTAGATGCGCTACGCCCTGCCCGCACTCGTCCATTCGCCGTCCCAGTATCGATGCTGGTGTCGATTACTCGCCTGGCACAATACTCAAATAGGGATGCTGGATCGCGCAGCCCCGCAACCGAGAAACCTCTACATCCACAGTGCCTCGTTGCGGCTGACGAACATTTGACTAGTAAACAGCGGACAGGAACAGAAGCACTGTTTTATAGTTATAGTGGAAACGAGCCGTAGAACTCTCGGCAAGTCAACAGGTTATCTCGAGTGTAGCGAATACGACCGCGGTTCGATCAACAGAAAACACCATATAGTACCGATTTATGATGAATCTGCTCGAGCGTATTCAGATCAGGTTCGCTACTGAAACTGGACGGGTGCGATCGACATAACCAGTATTGCGGCACGCATCATGCGCATGCACTCAGTCTTGTGCCGTTACTGAATGAACTTGAAGGGACAACTTTGGGATGGGCGCATCAAGGTCGAACATCATGATCACAAACTGGCCGCTCGTGGTGAGATGGTTCCCCTTCAACGCGAAAGAGGGAAACGGGGCAACCGCTTGCGGCGTGAAAAATAAGCAACGGATCATGGTTTGTAGAATCCTCATCCTTACCTGCGACAGACAGCTGTGTCCCGGGAGTCTCTAGGACCGTTCCGTTCGATCCGTCGTGGGCAGGAAAGTTGACTTGCAGTAAGACACTAGGATCAAACGTGATATGTGCGTCTGCAGGTATCTATCTCCTTTGTATGACCTTCGCAGTGGGCGGGAGAAATGTATAGCTTACTTGGGCATCATTGAATGCTACCTTTACTTCCTTCAAGTCGCTCTGTCCATTGATGGCAGGAGAAGCACAGAGCACCAAAACACACAAGGAGTTGGCGAGGCGCATTTGGTGTGATTCCGTTTTGTTCGCTTCTGCTGGCGATGCTTATATACCCGCTTTTCGACATGCTGCACCTAGGCACTGAAGCTGCGCATGCCGGCATATTGTCTTCCGACTAAGGCATAGTCACTGACACCCTCGGTTCGTGTATTTGATGTGGGACTTGTCATGCATGGAAAAACACTTGTCTGCTAGCCGTTGTTCTCCATACCCGCGTCCGTCGGATCCCAACAACCGAGGATCCAATCAATATCGATCATGATATTTGATTTCGATCATCTCGGACTACTGCCGGACCAGGAATACACAACTGTCACACGCATCCTCATCTCCGAACTTAAGGATGAAAGCAGGTTCTCAGTTCACTCATGTACAAACAGAATTGCACGCATGCAGCCAATGGCTATCTTCTTCTCATTCATCTACACGACTAACCCAGTGACTGTTTCAGAACCCAAGACTCTTTCCCGTGTCAACTAGCGACTGCTCCAAACCGATCCAGCCACCCAACGCCTCCGTCGCCACCGTGTTCTCGATCTTCTGCTTAGTAGGCTCGCCAGGCTCGCCGACGAGATCGGGTGCAACGTTGGCATCTGGGAAGTTCTTACGCAGGATAGCGAGGATCTGGTTCCACCCGGTCGGTTCTGCCACGCCCCATATGCGCTTGCCGCTGAGCGAGGGGTTGGTGAGCGCGGCGACGTGGAGGCGGCCGTCATCGCGAACGTCGATGAACCATTCTGAGTGCATTCTTGATCAGCTGTCCATAGACGGTGTGTATGAATACTCACGAGGTCCGACGGATTCTGCGAACTCATTATGGCCTTTCAAGAAGGATTGGATCCAGAAACCGGTTGAACGAGCGCCACCGTAGAGAACAGGTCCGAAGTTTGCATTCGGAAGAATTGTCACAATATCGAAAGGAGGCTGTGATAACACAATATAGGCGGGCGCGATGGAGAGAAATGAGTAGAGTGCGTACCTTGTTCTCCTCCATCCATTTCCACGCTGCCTTCTCAGACAGGATCTTTGTGGCTGCGTAGCGTATCCAGGCCCATTCAGGCTTCGCCTTGTCCTCTGCTGTGGCGTTCTCCCAGGCCTGAAGGGCACCGTCGTTCCAATTCTTATCCGTTACCGGCTCTGGGAAGAGGGCCGGTGGCTGGTAGCTCGCAATAGAGCTAGAGGTGAACACAATACGCTTTATAGATGGTTCATTTGCAGCGGCTTGAAGCAGTGCGACAGCTGCCTTGACCGCATGATGCGGCATGTCGTCCGAGGTGTCGAGGATGTCGCCCGGCAAGGCGACATGGGCGACGCCGTCCACACCCTTGATTGCGTTTGCTAGCTGTGTACCACTGGTGATGTCGTCTACGATGATGAACTCGAGCTTGGTGGTGTCGACGCCTTGTTTCGCATACGCGTTCCTGAGTTCTTCAGCACGTTTGAGGTCGCGCACGGTACCGCGTACGCGATGTCCGGCCTGGAGTGCTGCGAGCCCAACGTGGCTCGCGATGTAGCCTGTGATGCCGGTGACGACAATGAGCGATTGGGGCGGTATGCTAGGCATGATGAAGTATTCCAAGTTGGTGTGAAAGACGTAGCGTTCTTGTTATTCTTTTCACTCCCAACCATTGTTGTATATATAGGTGCCCGCGGCTTGCAAGAGGACTTGCTTAATAAGAAGCTTTGATAAGGGATCGGCATACACATACACGTCGCCGATCGGGCTTGCGAATGGGGCCTGGAAACATGGCGTCATGAGTTCTCGTACGATGGCGCCTTGCTGCTGGATCTCACATACTGTAGATTACTAACGATTTTTTGCAAAACTGATCGATTTTGCAAAACACCATGATCTCGTCTTCCGCTTCAAAGATTTTACATTGTCAACCTGTGAGGCCGATCGAGGATATATATATTTGTTGTGGAATGGGAGCCTTGGGATGGTTCATATGGCCTTCTGCAAATTAATGATAAGACAGATCTACGAGAAACGCAAGAACGCACTCCACACTCTGCAACTTCTGCCGCGGCGGAGTTTGAACTTGCCGCGGCATGACAAAGTTTGCAGAACCACTGCAATTTGGTCGCTTCTAGCCGGCATTCCTCTAAGTCGCATTCCGTTATGGATTACCTTGAAACTTGGTACACAAGATGCCAGGCTCATTGGGAATGATGCCCAGGTGGTAGAACAGTAAATGTTTCACCCGTTTGAGCAGATCGGCTCAGGCGTCAAAGTGTTTTGCAAAACGCCATAATGCGTTGGCCGCGCAGAGAAGGCTTACAGCGAAGAAATGGAACTTGGCATCGTCACGGAAATCGGTGTATCATTTCGGAGAACGGCCATTGAGGACGGGCAGCCAATAGTGATTCGGAGCACTTACGCGGAGGTACTGTCTTGGTAAGCGTTGCCTTTGCCAAGGCCGAAGTTCGCGTTCGGCAGGATGGTAGCGTCATCGAATTCAGCCTGCGGCGAGCGATTTGCAAGCAATGGTCAGTCTCATAACTCCGGCCGATAGGCAGGAGGATCCCTGACTGTTACGGAGCTAGACGTGAACCCGACGCGCTTTAGAGACGGCGTTTTAGCTGCGGTGCGGACGACGGCCTCTACAGATGCAATCGCCTTACACACAATACTGTTGTCCTCGCCGAAAGCGTCCGCCGGAAGGGAAACGTGCGCATTGTCGTCGACGCCCTGGAACGCAGTTGAAATTGCGTCTCGCTGGTCATTCTGTCGACGACCGCGAACTCGGGCTTGCTGGTGTCGACGTAAAGCTTGGCCCGTCGAGTAAGATAGCAGATTGTTCTCCATCCCTACAAACATTGGCCACGACATACATATGGGCTTCTGTAAGCCTCGAAGCAGCCGGCGGAATGACATCTATCGTGCGGCTTTGGGATGCTGGGACGCTGTCGTTTTCTCCCAGCTTAGCCTACGACATTGCAATGCAATGCGAAGATAGCTGAAAGGCTTACCGATTCAACGGCTCGTTGTTTGTGTGTCCTACCGACTGGGATTATATGTCACACAATTTGAATGGGGCAATATTTGGACAAGGGCCCAGCCTAGCAGGACCTATATCGACAACCTTGAGTGAGATGCGTCTGCCTTACAAGTCGTCGCTGGAGACTGCTTGTAACCCGGCAGAGTATACTGTACCATTGCCGCATGACAAATTTCGAGTTGTCCTTAGACTGATGTGGACCATCCTAAATTCCTGAACAGAGAATATGATGATCCAGATAAATACACATCCCGGGGAGTATCCAGCAGGGAAGCCTTAAAAAGACGGCTGTGCTTCAAGTATGTATCATGAGCCAAGGCGCGTCTGAGAGATCAATTATCATGGGCACTGTCCACGTGATCGCGAGGCTTATTCGTCGACATTCTGTCCTTGAGTGCTCTCCGTTGACCATCTTGTTATCAGGGCTAACGCGTATAACGACCCCACAATTATACTACAGCCTGCTTCCAAATGTCGGCTACCAGAGCTCAATCTGAAAAGGACAAGGTATACATCTGGCCCACTGATTCATCCTTGCGCCATTTGATCCATTGCGTTTGCAGGGCAATGCTGCCTTTAAGGCAGGTGATTACCCCACTGCTATAGGACACTACTCCGCTGCCGTTGTGGCGGACCCTCAAAGCCCAACGTACCCGCTCAACCGCGCGGCCGCGTACCTCAAACTAGGCAAGTGCGTGCTACCGCTGCGAAGCTCCGAAGGTCTCGAGCTGACTCCCCCGGCGCAGAAATGAGGATGCAGAAAGAGACTGCACGACTGTCCTGCGCCTCGACGCGAAGAACGTCAAGGCGATGTTCCGCCGCGGACAAGCACGGGTGGCGCTGGAGCGGTTGAAAGAAGCGCGAGATGGTGCGTGCACTGGCCGTTGCTGCTCGCGCGTCGCTGATCACTCGTGTCAGACTTCCAAAAGGCTCTAGTGCTTGAGCCGTCGAACGATGCGGTGAAGCAAGAGCTCAAGAAGGCAGAGGACGCGCTAAAGGCGCATAGCAAGCCCCGTGCGGTGCGTATGAACCTCTTACGCGCAAAGATGTTGGCTGACGCCCTCGCAGAAGCACCCAGTAGACGTCAGTGCGGCCCCCGCGATATCCGGCAAACCAAAGCCACAACGCAGGCGCATCCCAATCGAGATCATCGAGTCGCCCGCGACTGCATCGACATCCACGAAAACAGCAACCGGCGCGTCAAACAGCGGTGGTGACTTCATGACTCCCCTGTCATCTCGCCCGCTCTCGTCGACGCCCTCTCCGGCGGCGTCCACTCCATCGGTACCGGCGTCGAGTCCACAGCCGAAGCCGGCCCCGCACTCCTTTCAGGAAGCAAAGGAAGCAAAGGAAGCGCGGTCGAGCAGCAGGCCAGGCGGCGGGATCTTCAGGTCGAATGGACAGCACACCCTCTTTGGCGAGAAGAGCGCGTCGGAGACCCCACCAGCTGCACCCACGTCCACACCCGTGTCTACACCCACACCCATACCCGTATCTGCACCCACATCCACGCCCGTATCTGTGCCCGCTGCCGACGGAGTGTCTGCGGCAGGTCCGTCAACAGGACCAGCAAACGGGTATCCGCTCACGACCGACGCGCCCGAGAAGGCGAAGGCCCCGATCACGCTGTTCGCGTTCACGAAGCAATGGGAGAAAACGCGCTCTTCGGAGGAGCGCTGGCGTCTGCTCAATGTGCGTGCATGCTCCCGTTTGTGTGCTAGCGACTTGCCGTATGCTCACGTTCACGTTCACACAGGCGGTGCCGCCGGCGGCGCTGCCGGCGCTGTTCCAGGCGTCCCTCGACGCGGCCCTGCTCGCGGGGGTGCTGTCCACGCTGCGCGACGCCCTGCGTGCAGCGCCCGAGGAAGAGATGCAGGCGCGAGTGCGGGCGTACATGCAGGCGCTCCCGCGCGTGCCGCGCTTCGGGACGGTGGTTCTATTCATGAGCGACGCGGAGCGCGGCGTGGCAAGGGATGTGTGGGAGTTGCTGGGCGGGGGCGACGAGCGCGCGTGGGGGCGAGGCTGAGGTTGTGGGATGCGGCCGACGGTCATCAAGCTTTCAGGGTTTGTTTTCCGCTTCTCCTGATCGTGATGGATCGAGGGCTGCCGGGTCCTTGGGCTGACGTGTCCGCGCTGATGCACACGCAGAGCGGGTGCAATGTCTCATAGGTTTATACGCGATCGTCGGTCGGGCGTGCTTACTCCCACACCGTCTCCGGGGAGATGGCCAAGGCACGCCGGGATGTAGATCGGGTGGCAGGCAGACGTTGTGCAGAGTGAGACTTACGGCAGCGCGGGTGCTGTAGCGCGTAGCGGAAGCGAGGCTCGAGTATATATAATTTAGAGCGGGGTCCGCTTGCAACACATCAGCGCGTAACGTACAACGTGCACTGGGCACTCTTGCTGCTTCTCTCGACCGGCAGGTGGATACTCTACCGTCTCGTGTGTCGCCTCTGCGCACTGCATCGGCGAGCCGCTCCCTGTACCACAGGCGGGCATAGCGCGGCGCGGCCTACGCGTCCTCGTCGTCCTCGCCGGGCACGGAGTTCTCCGCATACCACTTCTTCAGCCATGCCTCTGCGACCACGTAGTCTTTCTTTACTCTCGCGAGCAGCGCGCCGATCCGCTCGAGCGCGACGTCCTCGGTGAGGTCGGTGCCGGACTCCTCGTCGCGCAGCTGGCCGTAATGCTGGATCTGCTCGCAGGTCGCCTGGACCTTGGCGACGCCCAGCGCGGCGGACGAGCCCTTGAGGAAGTGGCCGAGCGACGACAGCTTCGCGAGGTCCTTCTTTGTGCTGGGCGGGCGGGCGGTTAGTCGCGCGACGAGCGCAGGCAGGCA